CAGTTGTTTAAACTCTTGATCAATGATCTTTAGAAATGTCAGTGCAGATTGATATTAAGCATTGTTTAGAGCTGTTGCAAAGGTCTGTCTCAAGGGGCTGCCTCGAGCGTTTGTAGTGTCTCCAATGCTTCTATAGCAGTGGACGGTTCCCATGTGAGAAAGGTTTTATAAATGTTTCCCTACTTTTTCTCGGTTGTTTTATCAAAGCAAGCAAGGCGCTGATCTTTGAGTTCTTCAAATAGTTCACCATCTAGTCTTCAGAACTTGCTCTTTCGCACCTCGACTGAGCCCATCGCATTTTAAGCATGCTTCGTAAAAAACGTTACTGGAAGCTGTCGAGACGAGATTCATGATGTTTGCGGACTGGTGATGTTTCCATAATGTTCATTAGCACTGCAGATATGGTTACTTTCAGGAACGTGATCTTCGAATCAGTTCTGTTAATTTGATATTTTCATATTTCGTACAGCTTGTCGAAATTCGCGTTAGCGAGTCAGATGTGTCGATTCGCTTCAGGATCCACGCCTCTAACGTTAGCGATCACTCTCGAAAGATACTTGAAATGGTCGACCGTTTCTCTCGCAGTGCCATTCTAAGTGATCCTGGAACTGACAGTCACGGCGGATGCTCATATGACCTTTGTTTTTTGACATTTATTTCCGGTCCTGTTGCTGTAGGTGTATAGCACATGCTTTTAGGGAGTGTCCGTTGGCCGCCTGCAGAGTCATTCAGTCGCTCGATGTTATTTGTATACTCAATGTCGGTTAAAAGTATACCTGAGTACCTCGAGTTGCATTGTTAACTGATTGTTGGCCCCACTTTAATATTTGGCACAACGCTTTTCCGCATCACGTAGTCCACTATGATGCTGAATAACAAACAAAAGCGAGTTCTTGCCGATCTCCGCTGGTTATATAGAACCATTCATGAACCTTCGGCTCGGTCCGTGTGTATGATTTTGTTTTACGGACCTTCTATTAGATTTACCATCGTCTTTGTGATCCCGTAGTGTCGAATAACACTCCACATGGTCTGGAGATGTACTGAATCGAAGGCTATCCAAAAGTCGAAAAACGCGTCGCATGCCACTGTAGTTGGAAACTCCTGCAATGTTTTGAGCACGAAGACGTTGTCCGTAAATGAATGTCCGCTCCGGAAGCCTCCATGGTTTGTTCGAAGCAAATAGTAATGTCGTCCTGCAGTCGTCCTTGGATAATCCGCTGTCATTTGAACATAGCACACGAGGTCAACAGTCATTGTCGGCATCGACCTGAGAGTTCAAGTCTTTGGCGTCGATCGATAACTGATGTCGCGCGAAAGAATCAAGGATTGCATGGAGGTAGGGGTAGAACAGGTTGCTATTTTAGTCCTCAGCAGCGCTCATAGGAGCACACACGGAGACAAATTCTGTTTTAATGTGTCCTTGCGAATCTGCAAGCGGTGATACGATTTATGGAGAACAAAGCAGTCGCCGCTCAAGGTGGGGGCAGCAGCACCGCAATTCAATGCTCACAGAGAAAGTCCAGGTTTCCATTCCAGCAGAATTGTGATCCATCTTCAAGCTACTTATTTCCTTGGTCTGTTAGATGGGTTTCTTACAGGTCCAGAATATGCAGCTTGTATCGCGCTGCAGTTCGGGTGACGTCGTCCAATTTTCCATCACCATTTAGCGTCCGCTCGTTCCAGCAGATGACGCCCAGCTTCTTGCAGATGTTATGTTTTTGCACGTAAGAATTCATTGTTGCAACACTTGAAAAAAAACCGCCCTGTGTGTAAACTGCTCATCACACAAGCTTTGAAAACTGCGTATCAATATATGTATATGTGTACGTTTGTATGCAGTAGCCTATTCGTGTAATTCGGGAGAATTGATAGAAGACTGTTTTTCTTACTAAAACTTAGTAGTTTACTAACAACCTACAACCTTTACTACTATGTTAAAAAGTAGTGTTTTCATTATTGTTACATTGATTAGAGAAGGTTGTTATAGGTTTTCGAATGCTTCATGTTGAATAAATAGTATACCTATTTTTAATAGGTATCTTACCGACAGTGAGCTGCAGAAGCGTGCGCTCATTGTATTTTGATTTTCTCTTTTTCTGAGCAGATCTGGTATATTTTGCGAACGCATAAAGGAGCACCAAGTTTCGATATGCAGCTGGTGATGACAAATGTTGTTCTAGCCAGTAGAATTATGTGAAATGCATCTGGCGCTAAAGATAATCAAATAACATGTAACCATTGCCCATCTCTTCGGTTATTATGACCCCGGACGGTGCAGTAGGCGTGGAATCAGTTGATTGGAAGAGTTAGACGTTGTATTAGCAAACTGTTAGTCAGTTAGCCTTGGTTTCTATATTTACAAAATTTTTAATGAAAGTTATTGATATAATTGATGAACCACGTTTTTTAAATCTTTTAGTTTTGTATACTGATTGGAGATTTTGACGGCGCTGTGAGAGATTTTGCCCACTCAGTAAAGCTGTGCCCTGATTTTCCTCTGGCCAGCATTCAGGAGAATTACGCCAGGTATCGAATTGCCGTACAAAAGAACGATGACGAAGGTGCAAAAGAAGCACTCAAGGACTTTCGCCAGACTGTCGAACGATTCCCAAATTGCTCAGAAGGATGCATGCTATTCGGTCAGGTATAACTGTTGTTTTTTGATTGTCTATTTCTGGTTTATATTCTTATTTGTGCCACGACATTAAAATGCCTTTCAAACATTAAAAGTGAAATCTACCCTTGGTTTTCTGTATTATCAGCATATAATTGCTGGGCAAGGCTCAAATTAAGTTCTTATGTTTGACACATTTTGGTGAACATGACAAGATTCTTGAACTAAAAGTTTCGGTTCAGGTTTATTTCCACAGGTTTCACCGCCAGCTTCCCTGTTTTATCTACCAGATCATCGTTATGTAGGTCTGAATTGACTCTCCGGTCAAATCACCTGCGTATCATAAGAGATTATCAAGTTGCCATATGTTTTGCTTCATCCATCCTTTATAAACTTTTTTCAAGTGAATGAATGTATTCATTCCTGCCTTAATGTGAAGAGGGAATTTTTGGCATATTCTGCATATATCATGGATCTAACTAATACATTCTAGAAAGTTCGTTTGTTTCTTGCTGTTTCTCCAACAGCAGGCTAAAGTTGTATTCGGGTTGGGTTTCAACGTGTTTTGCAGATTCGCATGGTTAACAGCTTATGCTCTTGTAGTTTCCGTTCGTTTGGCTCATGTATCAGACTTATGATTGCAGGCGTTGGACGAACAGAAGAACTATGAGGAGTCGATGAAATATTATAAGCGTGCTATGGAACTTTCTCCTAATAATGGCAATATTTACGTGCACGTGGGGTAAGCAGATTTCTTTTGTAGTCGGTAAGAGTCATAGTGCTGTGCCTACGTGGTTTTTACATGACAAATTATCCAACAGCTATGGTTTCGTTATCTGAAAGATCTTATCATATTCTGACTAAAACTTTCGTCATCCTATCGGATAAACGTTTCCCTACATCGAGCAGAAGTTTTATTCTCAATGAAATATTAGAAATATAGATTTTGCCATGTACACACAGACAGTCATCGTGATTACTTGGTGTATCGCAGTCATCGTATTCGGCAGGTGCTGAGAGAATGGCCGTTTGTTTTGTTCGTGTTTTTGTAACCTTGTT